GAACCAGTTATGCTATATAGGCATTTTTTTGAGAAAATAGCACTAGTTTTGTTTGATATCAGTGCTGGTAGCAACATTTTCAACATTAATCTTATTATCCAACGTCTAACATAATGCGATATTATTACATCGTTAGAAGTAATGCATCGTTTTCCCAGAAAACATCAAATTTGGCATTACTCCGTACCACAATTTTTGATTTCCAAGGTGTGGTCTAGAACAATATATATATATATATATTTTTTTTTTTTTCTGAGAAAACGATACCAAATAAGAGGACATTGTTTCTAACACTGTTTTCTCTGACATGGCACCATTTTCTCAGAAAGCAGTGATTGAACCTGACCGTTTTCTCAGAAAATGGTGCCATGTCAGAGAAAACAGTGATTGAACCTGACCGTTTCACCCGTAATTGCCATTGTGACTTCTGGCACTTACACTAAAAAGCTGTGTTTGCTTTCAAGGGAAAAGGTAGGAAAAGAAAGGAAAATATAAGGTTTGTATATATTTCCTTGCTTTTTCTTTCTGTATTCTTTTTCTTCATACCAAACACAGCCTTAATTACTACTCTGTTTGTGAAATTTTTGATAGGAAAGATAATTGATTAAAGAAAACAAACGAGAAGACTACAAATTAACAACTGCAGAATAAAACAGAGCAAATAACCTAACAAAGACGGCTGACCGAAAGCGTGGATGAGAAGTCAATTTAGACATGTCATGAACATCTCGAGGAATCCAAGCTAAAACCGATAATATGAACCTTGGTTTTGGAAGGGTTTTCGTTTCCATCCCTAATGCAAGATCATGTTTTTATAATGGGCTTGTTTGTTAATAGCAAGAATTACTGAATATGGATCATCATCGTCATCAAAATGAAATCTGTTTCTTTTCTTTCATATTTCCCACATACGATATACGAATAACTATTTTAACAACAATACCATCACGATGACATAAGGTCCAAATCCGGGCTGAATCGGAGGTAAATGAAAAGAAAATGTAGATTGCAAATGAAAAGTATAATAGAGAATTGAAAAGTCAAAATTGTTAACTAATGGTCTGTTTGGTTGACGAGAAAGGATGAGATGAAAAATGAATATATATATATATTTTTTCTATTTTTGTATTCAATGTTTGTTTCTCAAAAAAATAAATATATTAAACCAAGTTTGTCATCCTTTCTCACCTATAATGACATGGCATGGTCGAGCGATCTAGAAATGGACAAATACCCATAACAGATCTAGAAACGAATCTATCAGATCAAACGCCATATCTGGAACAAAACGATCTGAAATAGATGTACAACTGTATAGATATAGAGAAAACACCAGATCTAGAAGACACTTATTCAAACAAGCATGAGCAAAGACCCATAACGATACAAACTGAAGAAGCATGAAATGTCCATTAATGATAAATCTGGAAAAGAGAGGGAGCTCTTACTTTCCCGTAGTTGAATGGAAATACTTGAACCTTGCAGACAAAATAAGTGGATAAGCATGTTAGATCTACAATGTATACACATAGATCTGTAAAAAACATAGCTTGATACCACCGGAAATAATGACGTTCGATAAACGACTGTGTATTACAACTGACTTGAAAGAGAGTGACAAAGCCAAAAAGGGGAAGAAATTAATCGCCAGGGTTTAGGGGTTATAGACTGAGACATCGTCGGGGCCTCGACCCCGCCCAAATTTCACCTCTATAAAAAATCATGCCCAATCATATTTGGATGCGCAACTGTAACTCTAGGCATGGTTAATTGAAAAAAGGGTATAAACTAACTACATCTCACATGAGCTTTTAATTGGTCAATGCCACTTGTAGTTAGAGGTGTAAAACAGGTCGTGCCTGCCTGCACCCCATGCAAAGTATGACTCATACCGCCCTCCTTAGGGATAATTTAGGGGGTCGGCTTGACATGGCCCACGGCCCAAGCCCGTGTGGGTTCGTGCCATGCCACGGGCTTGGGCTGAGTGGGCTGTAGGCTGTGCCGTGTGCCTAGGCCGTGTCGGGCTGGGCCACAAGTCGGGCCTTGGGCGTGGGTCAAACCTTGTCAAACTAGATTTTTTTTTTGTTTTTTTGACATTTTTGATTTTTTTTTTATTTATTTACTAAGTAAAACTAAAATATTTAACTTCCCTTTGAGAATTATTTGAAAAAATAAGAAATCTAACAAAGAAATGAAAAAAAAAAATTAATCAAATAAGAAGTCAAAGAGACAAAGGCTCAAAGTGAATAACATATTGGAAGAAAACTAGGAATTTTATTTCATTTAAATTTGAATGATACAAAACGTACAATGGTTGGATGACTGAAATATGAAAATTGTGAAATGGAATAAATTAATAAAATATAAAAAAATACAATATAGTTACAAATTGAAAATAAAAAATTATGTTATTAAAAAATATCAAATAAATTAAATAAAATTAAAACAATATTTACAATAATTTGAAAAAAATGCTATACAACTATTCAATATACAAAAAATATTAACTTCATCATTTTCTCTTATTGTTCTTGTGTTTGATCATCTGCTTCAAGTGAAACATGTGTAGTGTCATGCCCTCCTTTGTCTTGTAATCTATCTTCAATATCCATCTAATCTTTAAAGTAGATCCACATCTCTAGACCTTCATTGTCCATACAACTTTTCTTATTGTCCAACACCCTAGTACTTGCACTAAAACAAGACTCCGATGAAAATGTAGACGCTAGAGGGGTTAGTAGTTCACGTTCCATGGTGGCAAGAACTGAATAATTTCTTGCACGTTCACTCTACCAGGCTAAAATATCAAAAATTATTTGTTCCCTCTAGGGTGGAGGAAGAATCACTTAAAGTAGAAAAATTTGTTTGTAAATAAAAATTAAGTTCAATAAATGAACTTGTTGTCTAGGTAGTGGATTTCTGCCTCTTACTTATTAAATAAAAAAGTTTTTCTCTTCTAATATTGGACTTAAATTCAGAAGTGAAAGATGTAGGTGTACAAGTTGTAGAATTTTTATTATTCTCTATTACTTCATATTCATATAAACAATATATTTCAAATAATAAACTATTAATTTCTTCTTTTTAATTTCCAATTTCAATATTCATATTTTCACAATATGTTTTAAGTAAAATATCTAAACCATCTTTCCTAATCATAGGACATAATATTGTAGCTAAGCAATAAAGAGGAGAAATGTTCTCCCAATATTTTTTAAATTTATTTTCCATTATTTCAACAATACTTTTAAATTGTGGATTCTTTTTATATTTTGCAAAACAATCACTAAAATCATCATTAATTGATAAAGTAAATTACTACTAGTTGGATAATAAATATTCGATAATTCATTAGTTGCATCATAAAAATGTTTTAAGAAATCTCTAAGACAATTTGCCATTTTCTAGTCTTCCTCAAATTTAATATCTGTAGACATTTTTGTATTATAAAAACCACTAAGAATTTGTTTGTTTGAAATACAATTTCTAACATAGTATAGGTAGAATTCCATTTATGTTTAACATCTAATATAAAATGTTTATATTTTAAACCATCATTTTGACATAAATATTTAAATTCTTGTTTTCTTGCTCTGGAACTTGTAATATATATAATCCAATTTCTAATTTTAGAAATATAAGTAGAAATAATATTTAAAGAATCTTGAATACATTAATTTAAGATGCGACATGCACATCTGATATGAAATAATTTACCATTTAAACATGGTTTTTATTTAGATTTTAAAATATTTATTCTTGAATCATTCTTACTAGCATTATCAAAATTAATAGAAAATAATTCATTATCAATTCCATAAGCATGTCAAGTATTCAAAATACTTGTAGTAATAGTTGGGCCAATATGTGGCCTTTCAACCTAATAAAACTTAAAATTCTTTTACTTAAAAGATAATTTTCATCAATAACTGGTAACACAAATATAACTTATGTTAAATTTATATGTCTAAATATCAAAAGTAATTGCAACTTTAGAATTAAGATTTGATAAGATATAAATTAAACTTTGTTTATATGAATAAAAAAATTTTAAAGCATCTATCTATTAGTATTCCTAGAATTTTTTTTTTTTAAATTGTGGATTTACAGAATTACGTAACCCTTTTTCAAGTTTAGTATCAGCAACTGACAAAAATGGTTGTTCAACATGTACAATGTATTTTGTTAATTCTTAACTCATTTGTTCTTGAGAATATTTAAAAGTACCAAAATCCCCCCGCCCAATTTGTGTTTGTATTATTTCTCTCCTTCTTCTTTGTCTGCTTCTTATTCTTCTTCTTCCTCATGGGTGAGCAAATAACTGCCCAAATAGCCAGTACCACCTTTGCTACAATAGCTTAAATATGAGAACTAAAGAAGAGATTAAGAGAATTGTTGAATTGGTGTGTTAAGAATATTAGAGGATAGAACTATTTATAGGAATTGAAAATAATTCAATTATCTAAAATACCCTAAAAATTAGTTATTTTTTAGTTGTTAAGAGGGGTACCTTGGTCATTGTAAAGTTATTTATCACTTTACCCAAAATGCCCCCAGACTAACTTTTTATAATTATTGGGGCATTTCTGTAAAGAAACCATAAAAACCAAAATACATAAATGTCACCTATATAATTAATCAAACATCAATTTTCAATACCTATTATTGAATTTTCTAATCAGATTTAAATTTGGATATTGTGTGATTCGATTCTATTTGTTTACACCTCGAAATATGGAGCTGGTCTTTTCAATATATCTATTTATTTGCAAACTATTAAACTAATAAGAGATTATCAAATTGTTTACACACTTGATACTCTGACCATCCTTGTGGCAACTAACAGGCGAAAAAGTGAAGGGTTGCTTTTATACTGCCAACAGACAATAGGAGATATCGGTGTTTAGGAATGGTTAGAGATGTTTTAATAATTTATAAGAAACCAAGGGGGAGGGGCTTAATAATTTTTCTCTCAAATTTAATTGTGTAAAGTTGTAAACTGTTGGGGAAGAAAATATTGGCTGATGAATTTCTTCTAAAAGAATTATCAAAGGAACTCCTCAAATAAATGATAAAATTGATAAACAAAGACAGACAGAATGGGCCAATTAAACTGTTTAATTAAGCAGGCGAGCAGCAAGCTTAAACCCGTAGCCAGACGAAGCACTTAAAAAGCTTGCCAGACCCCAAGGTTTGGGAATCTCGGTGTCGAGATTTATACGAATTACCAAACCTATTGGCTTTACTGGTTGGTGATTGCAGCCCCATCCACGACCAGAAGTCTGGTGCGGAGATCCCAATCCCATTGCAGTGGATAGAGTTCACGTTGGCATTAACGGCACGACGGATCGTGTTTAGACGATGAAACTTTTTGTCTCCTGTTGCTCTTCCGCCTTGACTTTCCTCCTCTTACTTTTGAATCTTCTCCTCCTTCCACCTGTAAGTGAAAATTAAAAAAAGAATGGAACCTTGATGATTGATATGATCAATTTAAATTCTACCTATATATAATGTAACTTCTACTAGCATTGAATCAAATGCATACGGGTATCTAGGAACCGAAATAACATTATTCAACTTTCCCCCTCTTAAAATCCAAAATAACAACAAATGATATATCATAGTTACTTTTGTAACTATCTTATTTTTAAAATTAAAAAAAAAAAATCCCATACATCCATGAGGACAAAGATAAGGAAACCCTAACCCCAATGGTGGGGATGGAAATGGGAGTGGCACCCTCCCCTTTGCCAGTCTTGCCATTCCTATTTCTGGTAAAACTAGAGGTACCCGCCCAATCTATTGTGAAATGTGAATGACCTTTTATTCCCTGAGAACATGCTTTCAACAATATATTTATCATTAAAAAATTTTTATTATTTTAATCTATTATCTATTAATACTTGGTTGATTTTGTTATAGGTCATTAGATTTGAATTTACATACCAAATATCATACATAAACAGCTGTTAATCTGTTATGCTATTAGACTAGTCACTGGATAGTATGTATGTCATACTAATTTGCTAGTTAGTGTTAGTGGGGAATGGGGAGTTACCAATAACTACTGTTTCGGAAAGTGCAGTGCAATCGGAATTCAAAAACACCGAGGAGAGAGAGAGAGTGGTTTACCCCAATGCAGAAATTGCTGAATTGTATAGAATCCGTGCCAAATGTGTAGAAATCGTCCATAGAACTGATGTCGGAGCAATTCCTTTTATTGTCGTGCTTGTTGTTATTATATGAAAAATAAGTCGTCGACGACGAAGAAGATGAGCAAGACGAAGAAAAAGAAGCGCATTGGGGGGAGGGGGAGAAGAAACCATCATCCATGTCCCTTTGGAACATTTCCTCGAACAGTTCCTGCAGCTTCTCCAAACTCTCCGGCCCGTTCTCCTGTTTATCCATTCCACCCCAAAAATATGTTTGAGCTTTCAAAAAAAGTAACATTAATGTTTCGGCTTCCAAAGGATGATTTAATTTAATTTACGACCACCCTGACCCTCTTTCTAAAAGCCAAATATCGGGAATCATGAATACAGAACACTCGATGGAGTTTCCAAAAAGCGGATTCTGCTTTATGTGGCAACTGGCAACGCCCCTGGCCGTGGGCGAGCCGAACTCGAGTAGAGGGCATTCCGGTAATATAAGTTTCCTGCTTCCATTTTTCCAAAATGCTACCATGCTGGATGGAATGCTGCCTATGTTTATATGATTTATTATTATTATTATTCAAATTTTCACATGACTAACTAAACAAATACTAATACAAGCAAAAAGCAAAAGCAAAAGCAAACGGAGGCTTACGCTGGGTTTAATTTGGCTCATCATAGTCGCCATTTCCCCCAAAAATTCTCCCATTCCCTGAACAAAAATCACACAATCAAATCAGTAATAATTTTAAGGTTTTAAAGCAATCAAAGTGAAAACTTTGCATTATTATTATTATTTAGAAGAAGTAGTACTGGGCTAATGGCCCGGGCTTACGTTTTCGTCATCGTCATCGTCGTCGCAGTCGTAAACTCCAACGTCGTAAAGAAATCGCTTATTCTCGTCGGATAGAACTGTCATAATTTCAAAGAAAAATGGAAAAACCTTAACGGCAACAATCAAAGTTTCTTAGCAACACGACTTCTTCGAGTAAAGTAACACTGATTGATAAGAAGGTAATATACACGCAGCTTACCAGAATAAGCCTCTTGAATTGCCTGAAATTTCTTCTTTGAATCTTCCACGAACTTAGAGTTTCCCGACGAGGAGCATCGATCCGGATGCCATTTCTGCAACAACAGGTTCATCCTTCCAAAATTATACTTCGTTACGATAATAAAACAAATAGCCCTTTTTCTTCTTCTTTTTTAACATTGTTGTTGCTGTTTAGAAGCCGAAAAACAAACTACTTTCCTATCTAAAACACAATAGCGCGATGCCTGTCTCTCAAAAAATTGGAAACCTTTGCAGAAACTAGCAAAGATCCATAATTTGATCGGCCTAATTTGGCACCATAATTTACATTTTCGACCTCTAAAATGCTTTTGAAACCAACTTAGGCAGAACAGAGGTTATACCTAAACGAACAACGGTGTATTTATGTTTCATTTTATTTTCAGACGACATAACATAACAAAAACCACTCCACCCTTCTTCTACAAACACTAATCTTTTCCAAATCCCCTTGGACCATTATTGAACAATCTAAAAATTACGAAAAAATGATAAGGGGCCATTAAAGAACTTATAAAGGCTTCAATTTGTTCTAACCAATGCAAGCTTCTTATATGCATTCTTAAGCTCTGTAGCAGTGCATTCCTTCTTCAAACCCAAAACAGCGTAAAAATCGTTGCTTTTCTCTTCTCCGGAAGCCATTATTTCCTTGGAACAAAGAAAGAAGAAACCAGAAGAAGAAGAAGAAGAAGAAGAAGAAGAAGAAGAAGAAATGATAACTTAACTAAACTATGAATTGTCGACAAATTTCTTTACCCGGAACCGTGAAATATAAAGAATCAATACATACAATTAAAATTTGGTAATATGGAGCTACATCTTTGCAGATTTTAACACGGAACCTCAAAAACCTAGTTTTCGTGGCAAGAAAGCGGAAAACTCAGAAAGGGGGATGAATTTTGAGAGGGTAATCCCCCGAGACGCTAAGGTTCAGAAATCAGAACTCTCCGGAAGCCGGCATTTTAACTAGTTGCATTGGTTTCTTGTTATTGGCTGTCTAGATGGGATTTGATGGACGGCTTAGATTTTCGGTGGGCGCAGATATTTGTTTTCTACACTCTCCAGAAGGTTCTTTGGTGGCACCGGTAAAATTATAATACAAACCTGGCCCACTTCTCAGTGCCCAAGCCCCCCCCCCCCCAGGTTGGCTGTCTATGTCTAGTTTTTGTATCTCTCTAGTCTCTACATCCACATCTACTTTACCGGAAAAAGGTCGATGGCCCACTCTAGTAAATAATGCTCCTTCTTTTATGGAAAATTACGGGAATGCCACTTATTTTCGCCATTTTTCTTTTTGTAGTTATAGATTTACAGTTTACTCTTTTGGCCGGTCACCGTCAGTCTCGTGACTGACTAGTGATTGGTTTTGTACCGGCGCGGCGCAACAAATCGTTATTGCACGGAAACCAGAAGAAACCGCAGTTGAGAGTTGATCAGTTGAGACTTGAGAGAACGGAACACCTACGCTCCCGGTTAGAGTTTGTGACAAGTGAATGATTTGCCATTCTGGTTTCTCAATTTTCTCGTCGGTTGGCGGTTGCCTATTTCCCGTCTTGAAAAGTTATTTATCCCGCCCGTGTTGACCTCATTCCAGAGCATCTCCTTATCGCTTCCGGACACGCCACGACTCGAGCTATTCGCTGTAACCGGTATTTCTGCCGATCGCCGCTTGCGGGTATGAATTCTAGGGTTTATTAGAGATGATATAGGTGTTTTTTATTTTAAGAAACTCTAAACCTTAAAATAATTTCAAGGCATTCACAAGGAGTTCATGATGCTACTTCGTATCGTTCTCTCTCGATATCCATTCTCTATTTGAATCTCTATATTTTTGTTCCCTATTTTACCGTTTCGTCCAATTCATAATTTCTGTCCTGCTTTAGGAATTTGTGGGTCTTTCTAAGAGCTGTTAAATAGTTTAGATGGCTCATATTTGCAAATTTGCAATTGTGCAACCATTACTCCATTAGCTCATATATTCTCGAATCTTGACTATGTCTACATACATTAAAGATCACAGGCTTTAGTAAGAATCTGGACATAGAAGTTTCTGGGGTATGGTATTAGTACTTTATGCTTAGATACAATTGGATTAGTCATCATTAAACGGTGACCTCGCCTTAAAAACCGGTCTTTGGTTGCTTAGTGCTTACAAAAAAAAAAAAAATAATAATAATAATAATAAAAGAAACATACCAATCAATTACTAATCCTTTTGTTCTCCTCCATCCCCGCAAGGGGAAAAAAGAGCAAAACGAAAACAATGAAACAAAGACACATACACATAGATCAGGTGAAGAGAGATAAAGAATAGGAAGTTAAGGTTCTCAGAGAATGTCCATAGAGACTTTTATTCTAATTAAAATTTACGCAGGTGCAGCACCTTCCTATAAGGGGCAAATCAACATTGTTTATTTTCAGTGGGAACGTGAAAAAGGAAGAAGCTGTAACATGGATTTTACTTGAAATTTCATTGTATTGTTTTACTTTTTTTAATTGAAATAAACTTTTAGTTGTTTCAATAAGACAAATTCAGGGTTCCATTTCTTTTTCTGAAGAGAAGTTAATTGTTTCTCAAAGTCATATGGATATTAGATATTATTGTGCTATGCAATTTGTTGATTGTTCTCACCCAATTACTTGGGCCGGTGTAATTCCACTCCCTGTTTTGACAAAAAATAAATTTCATTCTGTGAAAACTATGAGCTTTTGGGCCAATAGGGTATTCAATAAACGAATTCTTGAAAGGTTTTAGAACGTAGAAGGTTGAAGATGAAGGAAAGGTAGCGAATATGGGATGCATTTGAAATAGAAATTATAGTTTGAATTTGAGAATATATTTATCTGAAAGTGTTTAGTTGTAGGATTTCAGACCAACCACAAGAGATTTTTCATTTTATTTGCAGATTATGCCATTATGGGTAATAAATTCAATCAACCCACCTTAGCTAGTTAAGGCTAAGCTTTGTTCTAACTATCCCATGTTGGCTTTCAATAAACTTCTATCATTACATTCCGTAGTGAGTCATAACTTTTCTTTACTTGCAATTCTTCATCAGTTCAACTACATAATTTTTTTCATCAACCAACAACATAGAGTTAATTACTTCATTATTAAGAAAAAGGATGTCAAATAAGTGATGTGAAGTTGGACCAAATACAGAGCTAAAGATTTATCTCTATCACAAAAGTTAGTTTTTTTTTTTTTTTTGGGTTGAAAAAGTTACATGGTTATGTATTCTTTTTCTACTTTATTTTCATTTTCTAGTGACCTGCAATAGAGGGAAAAGAAGCAAAGAAGATCAGGAATCAGGATTTATGCACTTCTTGTGGAGAAAAGGGACTCCTAAGCTTTTGTCAGAAAATGCATTGCCGGCATTACATCCACGAGCTTATCATAAGATGGAGAGGGTCTTGAATCTAGGATAAAAGAAGTATTAAGTTAGAAGGCAAGGGCAGGATAGAAACGATGAAAATGAGATGAAACTGGAAGAATCCAAATATTTATGGAACCAATAAAATTGAGAAACATTAAAATCCCAACTGGAAAGCTAAATATCCTTTTTTTTTTAATTTCTTTGACATAATAAAACCGAGGAACATTATGATCCCAGTTGGAAAGGTAAATTTTCTTTAAATTAGTCCAATAATCAATGTAAGAATTATTCTCTGTAGTGCTTTTAATTATTAATGAATAGTAACCCCTTCAGCAATTAGAGCCATTTGTGGATACCAAACCTTGTTGCTTACAGAGAGATTGGTTTAATAGGCTGTATCTATTTTGAGGATGGAGGAAGGTTTTCTGATTCTTCTCATTTAATATAAAAAAGGGAGAATGGAAAATATGATCTTGTTTTCCTTGGTAACTTTGGTACATTGTGACAACTTCATACAGTGATATGGTCTTCCAATGATTTGCTTCTACTTCTGTGTTAGGGAGTATAATCTTGCAATCCAGAAATGGCTGCCCATAAGATTGCTCATGCTACTTTGAAAGGACCAAGTGTGGTGAAGGAGATCTGCATTGGAATCACACTTGGCTTGCTCGCAGGTGGGATGTGGAAAATGCATCACTGGAATGAACAGAGGAAAGTAAGAGCATTTTATGACATGCTAGATAAAGGCGAGATCAGTGTTGTTGCAGAGGAGTAACAAGATTACCCCCCATTTCCGAGTGTTTGGTTTATGGCACCCTTGTTTTTTTTTTTTTGCCAAAAGAAACCTCCAGAGAGATATCATTCATTAGATGTAGCAAAAGGGTACATAGAGTGTCTGTTATACTGTTATACATACAGACTATTTTGTTATATTTACAGGCAGAATAAGCTAGATCATGGACAGCCTCATTACACGATCTGTTAATGTAGTTAAATCTGAGTAAATAAATAAAAACAAAAAGGTATGAGGTTGCCGATTTCCTCATATAAAGGCTTGATAGGCCAGTCCATATCTTCATTTCCATAGAAACTATTCACAATATACTCATCGAGTCAGAAAAGACAGCTATCGATTTTATGTGGAGGTGTTCAAGCAGTAATGCCCACCATTCAGCTTGAACTTGAAGGCTACCGGTAGCTTTTGACATAAATGCCCCCTATCATAAATGAGATGTAGGGGCGGAGCCAGGGGGAGCCATGGCCCCTCTATGCCCCAGAAATCCCCACTTGAATTAAACTCTTCCATGTATATTTCTCCCTCGCCCCACTCCCCACCCGGCCACGGGCCACCCCAATGCCAATGGTTCACCCCTCGGCCCTCCCACCTACCCTCCATATTTATTCTCCCTCCCCCTTTTCCAACCCGGACCCCTCGATCGATGGTAGTGAACATGTGGTCTAATTCTATCTTTGAACTTTTTGATATTTGGATTTTGGAAATATAGCTTCAGATTAAGTGGTGATGGAACATCTGACTTTCCGTCAATTGCGACTTACGACCTTGTTTCCTTCAAAGGTGGCACACGTCAGACTTCGGCCTCACGCTGCGTGTCTACTACTATATTATTGTTTTCCTTCTCTTGGTTTCTTTGCAGCCATGTGGATCAATTTATAATGGCTTAGGTAGATCAAATAAAAACCTGGATTCATACAGCCAAATAAGAGGTGTAGAGGGTGACCTCCGTTCGGCGGTAGAAATGAAGAGGGAGGAGGAAGTAAGAGAAGGTGTTCGGTGGTTGATGGTAACAATGGAGATGCAATTGGTGACAGTGGCTCACTTCAATGCAAGTGGAGTTTATTCCGACAGTGGACAATGCACGGTTTATGATTTGATTATCGTAGCAATGGAGAGTGGGGGAAAATGAAAACGAAAAGGAAATGGAAGAGAAGTGGAGAAAATGGGGAGATAACAATTTTGATTAATTTTTAGAAGAGAAAAACCTAAAAGAACGAAAAGGCTAGCTCATTATAATGTCATTTTCTATTGCTCATCCTCACCGGGACCACCGTCCTTGAAGCCTTTTTCGTTATTATTTAAGTGGGCCTCCATTATTATTGTGAAAATACCACCGTGAAGAGAAGAATAAGAAATGGCATATTTTGAAAATTTAATGAAACATTTGTGCCTTTTACAATTCATCTGTTAGACTTAACTTGAAAGGCCAACGATATATATATATATATAAGTAGTTTTCTAAAACTGTATTTGGTTTGAAGGAAAAAAGTAGGGAAAACAAGGAAAAGGTAAGAAAATCTTTGCAAACCTTATATAGAATTACCTACCTTTTCCTTCAAACCAAACATAGCCTAAATATACAGGGTATAGTTACAAAAAATTATAAGATTTAATTTACAGGTGAGGTTATGCATAATGGAAGGCGAGGGATCCCTCTCTTTGTTTCATATATTTCTCCCTTGTTTTGGTTCAGTGGGGTGGATGGGTGTTAGAGTGTTTTTCTTTCAAATACCAACCACATTACCAAATCTCTCAATTATAAAAGATAAAAACCACGTTACACAAATCACTGCTGACGGTTTCTTTTGACATATTTTTAATTCCTAAATTACTAATTTCTCTTTTCCAAGTTCACTTTGATTCCTAAAAATATATTGGTTTGTTCTCTAGTTTTTTTTTTTTTTTTTGTGTGTGTGGGTGTATTTAAGCATGATGAGGTGAAATTCATTCATTAAGCTCAGTTTGAAAAGAGTACAAATACATATATGTACAGTTTAAATATATATAAAGTAATACAAAATTCAAGGTTTTGTACCCTATAAATTTGCATCCGTATTCCTTCCAAAATGAGCTTTAAGAAGTCATAGATTTTTTTTTTGTGATCGTCTGTAATAGCTGTTTTCCTTAAGTAGTTTGTTTGTTTGTTTTTTTTTTTTTTTTCTGTTTTTTCGTGTTTGTTTGCCTTGCCTGTCATAGATGTATCTCTCTTTCTCTGTTTCTTAAAGAAGTCATGGATAAATCATCAGTAAAAACAGAAGAAGATACAGGAAGAGCTTGATAACGTGCTAAACAATGGGCGGGCCGCTTTGTTTGGTGATGTATGTAGGAGCAAATACGAAAGTAGAATCGGCTAAAGTTTAACGCAGTTGGCAAGGAGGATTGTGATTCTCCTTCTCCGACATAGCTCAAGTAATGTAATGTTTAAACTAAAGCATCTCTATCTCTGAAAACTGCAATTCCAAACTAAATTTAATAGCCGGAGCTTCAGTTTCAATTGCAAATCTTTTAGGAAGCCTACACGCTATGAAAAATAACAAATCACCAAAATGATTTATTAGTAATTAAACAAGCATCAAAACCTGATGGTTGTTTTGATATTTTTCTAAAGTTTTTATAATTCTTTTAGCCATGGCTAATATTATATTAGTTCATAATGATAAATGAATAAAAAATTTGAAAAAACATTCTTTCCGACATTTAAAACCTTGGGATTTTGTTTTAAACCTTGGCTTAAACATAGAAGAGAGAGAGAGAGAGAGAGAGAGATGGGCATTTTAACAATCAAATCTTTAATGCTAGGGTCGCAACTCGAGTTGGCGCTCCGGGCTGGAGCCCACCCCACCCATCAGTACAGGTCTTTGTCTATTATTTTTTTTAGTATATATAAAACCAAGCAAAGTAATATATAGTTAAGAAACTGTGTTGGGCATTCCACTCGCACCAACAGTTCCAGCCCAGGCCCAGCTGGTATGCGTGTTTATGGGGAGGCCTGCCATTTGTTGACAAATAATGATTACGGTTTTAGGATTAAAAATAAATAAATAAATAAATAAACAAATAAAATATCTGAAGATATCATGCCTATGTTTTTATTATTAATTAAAAAACAAGTTTTAAAAAGCTTAATTGAAACGCCTGGTAGTTTAGCTGTTGCTTCATATATCCCCCACAGTCCACAGTTTTAGGCTTTTATGCCAACAATGCTTTCACCTAAAGAATAAGAATCTATACATGCTTTTATGTTATAAATTAAATTAACTTTTTCTTAAAAAAAAAAAAAAAAAAATTAATGTCACTCCCGTGCTCTATGTTTTCTCATGCAACGCTGCAACAACTTAACAAAGACAAGGCACCGATTATAATATATAATATACAATTATATTAAATGAATACGTTATCAATAAAAAATAAAGAGCAGCTAAACAAATTATACCTCTCTACCCCGCTCCTCTCCCTTAAATCTTGCCTTGGCGTCACGTCCAGACCACCATTATAAATTTAACTTCTTTTATCAATCTAACTCTTTCTTTCCTCACTATCTATCTGATTCTGACCTGTCTCCTGTTCAGCCACTCAATGTGTTTATATATTAGTATTATATAAATCCTTAATAACACAACCATTTCTTCTATTTATTTCGTAATAAGAAGTAAAAATAAGAAGTAACTGATTGTCGATGAAGTAAAAAAAAGCTTTTATACATTCACGTTCAGCACATGCATGCAATCGAGTGGAATCTACAGTTTTTTACTTTATAAATTGCTCCGAGGGGGGGAAAACAAATTTATGAAGGAGCAACGTCAGTCGGATTGGTATCTTCTATCCTCGTCATACATTCTTCATTAATCACTTTATTTATTCATTACAATCACAACTATGTGATGTATTCCGTATAGATATAGATTTGTGTTAAGGCCTCCATAGAAACAGAGTTGTGATATGCTCCCAATTCTTCTTGACACATCTCACCGTGAACTTGGAATCCATCATCTCACCATGAAATTGGGATCCACCAGTCTATTCTATGATGTGAGCCCCATCGTATCTGATCATGCAGGAAGGGTGTTTTATTGGGAACAGATCCAGTCTCGGAATTCGGAAATATCAGAAAATAGCGAATCCGGAGGTGCATTGAGAACATCAAGTGGGGAGCAGATCCGATTTCGCGTACCACGATCCACGGGCAGCAGAGCTTAAGCTATTTACTTTTGGCTTTTCCCCTCGCTCTTCATTCCTTCCTATTTCCTATCCTGCCTGCCAACTGTGGCATCCTTGTTACAATTTCCCCCCTTTTATGGAGGAGATTTTCTTCTTCTTCTTCTTCTTCTTCTTCTTCTCTCTACCGTCTACCGTGTTTTGCATTAATTCTCCTCCCCGAACCCATCGGCATTGCCGAGAAGAGAGAATTTCTTCGGTACTGATTTGTCGTATAAAACATATTATATCCATTTTTGGTTTGATGAGATCTGTTTTGCCTTATTTCTCTCTCTCTCTCCCCTCCCCTCCGTCTCTTTGTATCTTCATCTCGGAATCACAAGAGCTCGCCCCTGCACCACCAACCTCCGGAGCTCTTCTCTAATGGAGTTTCACCGCTGTCGTAACTAATGGACTCACATCCACTGCCTAACCAGGTATATGTTTCTAATCTTTGCTTCCTTTGAGTTTCATACATTAATCAATTCTGTATCTTATTTATTCTTTCTCCCTTTCTTCTCTCTTTCCCTTTCATTTCTTTCAAGTCTTGTCGTGTGCTTGAATCTTATAGTATTTGCCCAATCGTTTTTTTTTTTTTTTTTATTTGCTATTTTTCTATTCCTCTTCCACATTGTTGTGTTCGTCCCAGTGACCCAATCCTCTAACGGAACCGAACTATAGACTATAGTGGGAATTGACATGGCGATTATAACCAGCCCAATGTTACGAATAAAACTGTAGACGACTAGTGGTAATTAAGACTAATTAGGTGAAATCCTGTATCATTGAATTCATAGAATTATTTAGCTATGGATGGTTGGATCCTCCGGAATGGCTTTTTTTAGGCAAAAACCGGAAATCTCACGTCTGAAGAGAGGTCCAGATTTTGGGCTGATCTGATAGCTATTGTCCGTTCTGATTGTTGGGATGTGGCCTGGCCTCGCTCCTTTTAATTGTATCTTCCTCTTCTACAAAAATAATGGCTTTTTTCAGGATGTTCAAATTTCAAACTGATCTATGATTTTAGGTTGTTACTTTTAAGCTTTAACTGTGCCTGAACCCATCTATTCTCGTGGTCGTAGCCCATCTTTCTTACCAGTTCCCACCAACTAACATATGAAATATATATTCTGTGATCCCGTTCTGATTAGTGTCTGTAATCTAATCTGTAGGAATCCTACATAAAAAAAAAAAATAATAATAATAATAATAATAACAGGGGAAGACACGTTCAAAATTATTTTCTCTTATTTGGTGAAAGATTAGGATGTTCAACATTATTTGATAGTTGATACTAATAAATTTGGTAATATTTGTGGTGGAACCTTAGAAGTTGTGATGAGACAGGCTACTCAGGAGTCAGGAGTAGGACGGTCGAAATTCAACCTCGGGTAAATCAGTATTATTATTATTATTATCAGAGTTTGTGACAATAAAATAAAGTAACGTTCCCCGACTCTCTGTCGTGTCTCGTGTCTTCTCATCATCACAATGAGTGACTACGAGGCTGGCAAAGTGACTGGGATCAGACAAATAGTTCGATTGAAGGAAATAATCCAGAAATGGCAGTCAATCACCTTGAGCCACAGAGGAAACAGTGGGTCTCCCTCCGACAACAAAAGTCGTGGGGGCATCTCCCCTGACGTCACAAATTACACAATCTGCGATTCCGATGAAGAGAGTTGCCATAGCCCTTGCCCTGAGTCACCACCGCTTGGCGTTCCCAAAGGCTATCTGGCGGTATATGTCGGACCAGAGCTTCGGAGGTTCATCATCCCCACCACCTATCTCACCCTCCCTGTCTTCAAGGTGTTATTGGAGAAGGTTGAGGAGGAGTTTGGGTTTGAACACAAGGGCGGTCTCACTATTCCCTGCGAGATCGAGACTTTCAAGTATCTCCTTAATTGCATGGACAACTACCATAAGGAACACCCTGATGCTGATGATCACAATAATGCTGCTGGTATGTGGTCAAACCTTTCTGTTTGTTTAATTTTTTTTTTTTTTTCATTTCTAAAATTTTACTAACCGTAATACTTGCTGTGATTTTGCAGAGGAAACACCGTCGACCGTAGAAGAATAGATCATTAGCACATGGTTTGTATAAATTAAAGATCCACAACTTAGGATTTTCTTCCATTTATGTTGGCGTAAAGAAGTCTCCTTGTACGAAGATTTGTGCTTTGTTTCAAGTAAAGCAAAATAGGGAATTTTAGCTAGGATTTTTGGGTCACAATCGGTGCAAAACAATCATTGTAAGATGTAATCTTGGAAGTTTGATGTAAGAATAATGTAACCCACAGTTGGTCTCTGAGCCACACCTAATGTTTCAACTTTGAATAACATATGCGATTTGTTTTGTACGATTCTGACTGAAAATTCCATTAACATGTGTTGCTTGTCACCTTGATTTATCAGATTAGTGCCAAAAACAATAATAATTGCACAGGTAGAAAAGGATCGATGAATAACAATAAGCGTAGCATAATAAAAAGTTTAAAACTTGATTACTTTTTATCCCCTTCATTCCAGGGTTCAATCTTCAATCTTTAGATTTGTTCAAAATTCTGTTAATTTTGTTTCCTCTGATCTGAAACATGAATATACTACTGCTCATCTGTTACTACCGGTTGATTGTAATGGTATTCTTCAAAGGTTTCAAGTGTGCTAAGCTCACAGACGGCTTTCTGAACAACACTCGGGGCGATTATTGTTAATTTGTATTCTCATTAGTAACAATAAATAAATAAAAGAAGAGTTTTCTGGATGATAGATCACCTTCTAGTTTATTTTCTTACAATAAGTAAAATGGTTGCAGCAATCACAAGTGAGATATGAAATTAGCAAAAGACAGATCCTACTATACAGTAAGCCCAGTTGGTGGCTGGATGAATTAAAAGAGCTGTGGAATGTGATATTATACTGGCAGTGATTGATTATTCCCCCAAAAAAAGATATACAGTAAGACAACTAAAAAAGAAAAAGGGAACCCCATGTTTTATTTTCCATTATCCACATATGCATAACTACAAATTTTATAACCAAATGGCAACACCCGATAGGTATCTTGTACTTGAGTTTACTTTCGCTCATTCAAGGACGGACGAAAGCATCCGTCTCAAGATTTTTATTGGGCCAGCTGGATCTATTAATCCACGTCAGAGTTGCTTGTCTCAATATTGAAATGAGAAACTATTGGTTATGGTGGTGTTTATCTAACTATGTCAGATTTAATTTGAACAATTCCAACTAGTTTCAACTTTTACGGCTTGCATCTATTAGGGTTTGAGGTTTTTTTTTTTTCCAAAATTAAAAAGCAATGTGAAGAGGGAGACCGACTTTACTAGTCCTCCCAATCACCATTGCAGAGCATATGAAAAGCACAACCATTTTCGTAATACGAACTAGTTTCTGTTACGTCAATATCTCCTTTTGTCTCACCATTGTAGAGAACAAGAAAGGAAGCAATGTAATATTCTTTTATTTTTGTGTTTTATTCTTTTATTCTCTATTTTTTCATTCTGATTTCTGTTACGCCAATAACTCTATCTCACCATTCTGAAAACAATGTAATATCAAGCAAAAAAAAAAAAAAAAAAAAGATGAAATATGGTTTTAGATCTAATACGTTAACAACTCCCTACATGTGAAAGAAACACATYAACATAAGGTTAACMAGCCAAATATTACCCTTGTCTTTTTCTTTATATATTGGTGAGATACAAACAAATAGTTTCATGCATTAAAAACAAAGTTGTTTTCTATAAGTTATAGATGAAGTTATCAGCAGAGAACAATTCATGTTAAAGATTAAACCTAGTCATTGATGAAGTTATCGGCAGAACAAAGAAGATTTTTTGTTTAAAGGCTTAAAGCTAACTTATTCTAATAATAGAGACAAAGGGGTTATTGGCAGAAATGAAGAGGTTTATTGGCGTAACAAAAACCAGAATGAAACAAAAAAAAAAAATAGATAATAAAAAATAAAACAAAAAAAAAATAAAAGCTAACCGGTTCATATTATGGAAATGGTTGTGCTTTTCATGTGCTTTGCAATGGTGATGAGTGATGGGGAGGAGTAAGTTCGGCCTCCCTCTTCTCTCTTCTTTTTGATTTTGGGAAAAAACTCAAACCCAAATAGATATAAGCTGTAAAAAATGAAAATAATTGGAGTTATTCAAATTAGATCTAACCTGACGTCGTTAGACAAACGCCGTAACCAATCGTTTCTCATTTAAACGCATTGGGACAAGCAATTCTGACGTGGATTAATACATCCAGCTGGCCCAATAAAAAGCTCGGGACGGATGCTTTCGTCCGTCCTTGAATGAGCGAAAGTGAATTCCTTGTATTCAGGGATTAATGCCGCTATTCATTATCTCGCCTCTTCTCTTGGACGGAGAAACCTGTTCAAGCACTTCTGCTTGCTTCTTCTCACTCACCATTACCTTTTTGTTGTTATTCTTTGGGATACTGCAATATGCACTGGAATTTTCTCAATATTTCCAACACAAATGACTCCATCTCCTCGGCTGTGTTACACAAGAAGCCATTTGATCGGTAGATCTCAGTTTTGGATGAAGCTATGAGCGATGGAAACAGTATGTTTCACAGTTTCAGGAAAGCCCGGTACGGTGAATTCATCGGAGTTCGTGTGGCGGTGTGGGAGGTTCAACTACAAAGAGAAGAATGCGGCCGTGTCGTAGCCTCCACAGGTGGTAAAAACGACACGGAATGATCGACGCGCTTGTTAATATTAACTGACCATCCAAGGAATACGTCGGCGATGATGCACAGTGGAGGCTGGCCGTCTTGCTGGATGATGGTGGAGACAAGGTTGTGGAAGGAAGGCTCAAGGGTTTGTGAGGCACGGAAGAGGGTTATCATGTGATGGTTTGGCAAGGCTTCTGTGTTTTCGGTGTTGGGTGGTAGACCATCGTCGGTTCTGCAAAAGGGCAGCTCGGCAACACGAATGGTTGTAGAAGTGGTGGTGGAGGAGGAGGAGATGGTCGATCGGAGGTAAACGACGTTCTTGGGAGTGGTGGCGGTGGTGATGACGTAGCCTGTTCGTTGCTCAATTTGCCTGGCCAATGCTAAGAATGGTATCATATGGCCACGAAACAAGAGAAGAATTACCCGTAATGCTGTTAAACCCTTGAAACATTGGATTGAACAGAGAGCCCTTAATAAATGGGTTGCCGAGCGTGTGGAATTGGCAAGGGGACCAGACGGTAGGGTCATGAGTGGGGAGGTGGAAAGAGCAATTAAGTTGGTGATGGGTGAGGGAGAAAAAGGGAAGGAGATGAAAACGAAGGCGAGTGAAGTTGCAAGAAAGATAAGAGCTGCAGTGCAAAAAGAAGGAGATCAGTTGGGGTCTTCGGTTAAGGCACTTGACAGTTTTTCAGAGATTGCTTTGTCACAGAGACGAAACTCTAGTTTAAATGAAGCATATGGAAATCCTTCTTAAAAGAAATGAAAATGGTGGAGGGTGTGATTGGGAAAGCAGATCAGGTGGTGGAGAAAAGAGCTATAGCAGTTGCAGAGAAGACAAAACAGTGTTGTTACTTTTTATTTTAGCCTCGGCATTTAGAACAGTGGACTCAAGCTTTCGAAAGGACACTTGGGTGTATTATTTTCTTTATTCTGTTCAATGTGTTAATTTCCACTGATGTACAGCAGATGGGTGTTTCTGTAATCCATGTACCCGCCTTACACTGGTAACCCTAACCCTCCTTCAGGAGGTAGCAGTGGTGGTGGTCTTACACCACCTTTTGGAGGTGGAAGTGGACTTTCAGGGACAAATCCTTACCTTCAATCAGTCCAACACGCCCGATCAACGTGCTAAAACTAGGGTTGTGCTTGGATGTTCTTGGCATTGGATGCTCTTGGCATGTTGGTGCACGTTGGATTAGAGAACTCAATGGAAAATGCTTGTTGTCCGGTGCTTGGAGGTTTGTTAGAGTTTGAAGCAGTTGTTTGCCTCTTTTTTATTTTTTTGAGAAAGAAGATGATGAACAGTATTCAAGGGTAATTTTAACATTTTTAAAAGTCTTAAATCCCGCATGAAGTCACGTGATATACATAATTGACAATCCATTAACAGTAAGTACTAATCATCGCGTTTTAAAGTTGGAATACTAATTGACACTAGGCCTAAAATACAAAGTACCTATAGGGAAATTTCCCTTCTTTTAGTTACCAAACATACATCAGAGTTGCAGGTGTACAGCAATTCGCCAGGAAGATGACAGGCGGTGGTCTATCAGGACTGGGTCTTCATTTTTCACGTACTGGATTGGGCAGCCTTTCTCCTCGTGCATCCATATCTGAGGAGTTGAGATTTTCTGCCGATAAACACGTTCCAACCCACTTAACAACTTGATCTAACACCATACATTTTACCATGAGATTGAGACCCACGATAAAAGTAAGACTTGTTATATATGTGAAGTGGGGTATAAGATCATATTAGTAGAGGGTTAGAATGTGTTTTATTAGCTGGTAATTTGCAGTGGATTTTTTTTTGAAAGAATGACTGATCATCCTAGGGTTAAAATTCGTTAGTTCAAAGTACTGTCGGGGTAGGTGTCAGCTCGGAATTGATACTAATTCACCGGCAGGTTGATGCATAAAGTGTGGGTTGTGATCCTTTTGAATGTTTATAACTCTGTAATATAATTACATGCATTGCATACGAATTCATGGGCAAAAGTATTTGCTGTTCTGCTAATATGATTTATACATATACTATCAAAATCAAGCAAAATATTTCGAAGTTGATCTCTGAGATGATGTAACAGCTGGTTCCATTCTACATCGCCTTTTTCCTGTATAGCTCGTACGGCATTCGATAAATCACAAAAAACTAAAACTGATCAGATTTTAAGCCTGCTTGCTGCCTTTAACCCTTCGATTACTACTCTCCATTCGGCCTGGGCTACTGATGAAGCTTTGACAGTTTGGCCTTCTGCATGCACAACCGACAAATCCTTAACAAGTATTGTGAAACCAATAGCCTCATTTCCTGTGAGTTAGGATTTCCTGCACTCGGTTTCCTTTATGGAGGGGTGCACTCCCAATCAAATTGGGACACGCCAGAATTTGTATAAAACTCTAACTCAGATATACGAGCCATTTAAACAATCAGTTTAAATCTGTTAGTTTTGCTTTTTAATACTTAAAAAAATAAAAGGAAAAGTGAAAACTTTATCCGCAAGACTATATTTCATTGCAAAATTTAATCTCGTCTGTAAAACCCTACTATCCTTTTCTTTGTTTAACATAGAATGAAAGAAGAACAAATCGGAAGTCCAAATAAAGAGCTATATGCTCTACTTCACATATCTCCTGAAACATGGGATGAAGAAATTAGAAAAGTTTATTGTCGATGGGCACAAATCTAGAACTCCATAAATGCCGACTTCCACAGGTGAAAACGTTGCTATAGAAAACTCTCAAAAAATTTGTGAAGCACATGAAATCTTGACTGATGAGTACAAAGAAAACTGTTGCAAACCAAGTCGCCTCTAACCTGGTGCATTAACAAACGATTGCTGACTAAATAAGGGCGGAAGTCATTTGCAAGTAATTGTTTCAGGTGCCCATCATTTCTTCTTCACTTGAGTACTCTACTTTTTTCAAAACACCTACACCTCATTTTGAATTGGATTCGGTAATGGCTTCCTTTTTATAGGGTAATTAACATTTATTAATTCTGCTCTTGAACTTGTCGACTTCAAGACTTCTGAATCTTTACCTCAATCAATTGGATATAGCATACACTAAAGTCATCAAAACAGTAAGATTTACCGGTTTGTTGCTTCTGTTCTCATTTGCCGAATAAAAGACACTGAACCTTGACTCAAGTTTAATATGGAGCTATGCAAGCAGTTTAGTATAAACATTACAACACCAGAATTTTTCCCCCTGCAATTGTTTGTTAATGGCATCCACCCTACGAAAGGGTTTGGTCTGTAACAGTGTTCTGTATTTTTCCTCTTTAGTCTTTACCGTCTCACGAACTTGGCAGCGGCCAAAGTGTCTATTTCACTCTTTCTTTTACTTTTTAATATGAAAAAAAAAGAGAATATTAAAAAAAAAAGTGATGCAAATGGTCCGTTTAAATGACTTACACATGTGAGATGCCATGTAAATTCTGACGTGTTCCAATTTAATTGGGAGTGCACCCCAGCCCCCAGTACACATGTAACCAAGTGCAGGAAACCCGAACTCATTTCCTGTACCTATTCTGAAGGCTCCATCCGGTAGACCGGGTAGCCACAGAATGCACCACACATGTGCCTCACAGCAAAATCAACAAATACAGGGATATTCCCAATCCACGGTGAGATGTTACAAGTGGTGCGCCTGTGGGGCACCAATCTAACTATGTTTATTTGGTATTATGATTGGAGATTGGAGAGGGAAACTTGTCGATGGCTCTATGCTAAAGGCTCTAAGGAGTAAAAGAGTAATGATGCATGGCCGAGGCCCCGAGCCATGTTTGAAGTATGCAATTGGGGATGAATCGGTGCAGTTTAAATTAAAGGAGATTCCTTGGTGAATTTGTCTACCATGACCAACAATGGGTTTGAGTAACGAGAGAAACGAGGAAAGCATGGATTAATGGTTATTTGTGAAGGGTCCAACATAAACAGTGGTGTTCGGGTTTTGGTTGATCGGGTCTTATACGTCATATATCGTCTATGTGGTCATCTTCTCTCCTCAGTTATATTAGTGTCGCGTCACCTCTGCTAGGGGTGAGCATTATTAGGTTAAAATCGAATAATCAAACTTAATTTTGGTTTAGTTTTTTCTTTTTTTTTTCAGTTCGGCTTTTATGGTTTTTGGTTAAATTGGTTCGGTTTTTCGTTTTTGGATTTTTTAATTTTGGTTTTTTGAATTAGAATTTCGGTTAACCGAATTAATCAAATTTTTTATTATTTAATGCAATATATAATATATAATATGTAACATATATTATATAATATATAATATATTATATATTTATATATTAATATATATCAGGTCTTACTTCCGCTCAAAGTAAGGGATTCAACTCTTGATTTCCATACCATTACTCTACTCGGACTAGCACTGTTCTCTAGTTGCTCGGCCCGATCGTCCACCTTCCTCGACTAACTTGAGTGTCGGAGTATCTACCCGGGGATAACTCCTCAGGCCTCTGACTTTTCTTGGTTTCAAATCTTGGAGTGCAGACTCGTCCTTCCATATTGGCTCCGCCTAATGGGCAAAATTATCTGATAGTAACCTCAGTTCAAGAATTACCTCAGATTGAGCAGCATCAAGTGATGCATTTATTTATATGGTTGGTGATCCAGATCTTCACCTTGAACGTAGAGGATGTTCAAGAATCTGTATTTGTCAGATAATTATGCACGCCAGTTTGGATTAACGGTTCATTCTTTGTGTGGGGCATCATCACCGGAATGCCCAAGTCATGTGCGTCCTCTTGTATTTTAAATTTTTAATTTCATCAGGTAGTGAGATGGTTTTTAATTTGAGGTTTTTTACTAATTTTTTGGTTAAATCTTTTGCTTTTTTTCTTTTGAATATTGTCCCATGCAGGTAAAGTATACATTTTGTGAATTTCATAAATAAACGTGCAAATTTATGTTATGAGACAAACTTAGGCCCGAGTCCGAGCCCAAGCCGATCAGCAGGCCTACAACTTGGGCCTCAGCCCGGCCTTCATAAAAGCTCGAAGCTTGAATACAGAGAGAGAGGACCTGTTTGCGACTACCTGAGGTTGTTGGCTGCCGCTGTTATTCGCCGGAGAAGGCCAAAAAGAATGGCTGCAGGCCTACCGCCTACCACTGCTCTCTTGTTGCCGACTTGCTGCCGTTAGAGATCGTTGGTTCGTTGAATCGTTGGTGCCGGTGGTTGCTAACTTGAGAACTGTGTGGATGAGAATATGATGAACACTGACGAGAGCCAGGGATGGAAAGGCTAACTAACTCGATTAGGGACATAGGGTTTACAAAATAAATAAAAATACTTATATATATATATATTTTATATTATAATAAAAATCGGGCCGGGCCGGGCCGGGCCAGGCTTTTTTTTTGACAAATCCCAAGCCCGGCCTAAAAATTAATCGGGCTTGGTGTTTTGGGCTAGAGGTCAAGCCTGCAGGTTTAAAAATATTTCCAAGCCCATCTGGGGACCGAGCCGGACCATCAGGCAAGCCGACCCATGAACAGATGTAGGTGCTAATTCACATGAGATTTCTGGTGCACAGTTGGAATTCCGCAATGGAATTTACTCGAATTCACAAATATTCCATACGACATTTTTTAGGGGCTAAAATCATGACTTCTTACGTTTTAAGTTTAATTCAATGGTCAGATGTGATCAATGTGACAATCATTTAATTCGAATTCACAATTATATAAAGAGGTTCTTCAAATAGATTTCGAACACTTTTTATTTCTCTTAGTTTAATTGATTTTATCTTGTAAAATTTTAAGGTTTTTTTAGAGATTCTGGAGGAAAATAACATTCTAAACATACTAGTATATCCTTAATTCGATACAGCTTGAAGTTTCACCTGTTTTCTGAAATTACATTTCCAACAATTTCTATGGTTGTTGTTTATTCCTTAATTATACCTATGGTTTGCCACTTCATGTTGCTCACAGCCCGTCTTACCACACGTTTCACCGGGTACCCTCCTACACACTATGATCGATCTGTTTCTTCTTCTCACAAGTTACAATTAATTTCATCCTCTCTACTTGTTCTCTTGTTTCTTGGGTGTACCCTCCTACACTAGGCTTTGCTCATTTGAATTTTGAAAGAGGAAACTAGTGTTTGAATTGAGCAAGGAGATCTTTCCGATCGAGGACAAAGTGGCTATCATAACTTTTTTAATTCTTGCATGCAAGTGATCGAGTGCCTTAAATTTTTTGCCACAAACACACTTGGACAAACTAGGGAGGGAAGAATGCTATCCTAATGGCTATGGGATCATTATTCATTACATTAGCAATGGAAAACTAGGGGTGTCAATGGACCAGGTTTTGGACCATCCAAATTCCAATGGCTGGCGTTGTTATCCATTAGCCGATGAAAAAAAAGAAAGTTCACTCTTCTTGTGATTTGGTGTAGTTAGATGTTGAGAGGCTTAGCAACCTTAAGAGTGGTCTAAAGAGTTTGGAGTTCATAACATTAACGCCAATCAAATCGAAGGAATTACATTAATAAAATCTTTGGACCCTTATTACACAAATTTAAATTATGTTGTTTAGGAGTTAGGACTGATCAAGCCTTGTGTTGTACGTATTATTTGATGAGCATTGGCTATGCACAAAATAACATGAAAAAAAAGAAGAATAATTAGTTAATTGTACTTTTATAATTAATTACTATGTTATTATTTGAGCATTCATTCATACGGAAGCTGTTTTAATTAACAAGTTTAACTTGAAAGTTTTTTTTTTGTTAACTTGCATGCATCCAAGTATACAATAAAATACAATGGAGATAATGACAATGTTAGTATAACCGCCGTGAACTGGTTTACAGAATGGGAGGAGGGAGAAGCCAAGTGCTGCCGTGGACGTAGGTCATGCTCACGAATGGTTGGGCTTCGGCATCGCTTAGCATCCTGACGTAAGGTGGAGGCTTATCTGCGCATGATCCTGGTCCGCTGCAATTGTATTCTGCGTAGTATATTGTCCTGCATTTATCATATTTTATTTGTTAACAAAAAAAATTAAAAGCTTGGGATTGAAAGGTTATCCTAGTTACTTCATTTTATTTAGGATCTTCCTTTGTATCAATAGCATAAGTAATTACTAATTATGTTGATAGCTGGGTAATAAGATGCATGGCGGCATACTTTTCGTCGGTTGTTTTTCCACCGTCAGAGGAGCCTTGAGGACTGATTTGCAGGCCGATGTCGGCGTTGGCGAAGATAACCCTCCCTTTGGCTCTCCATTCCTGACCCAGATAAATATGCCCGCTGCCCGTAAAGTTGCAGTAAACGAAACAGTAGCCAGTATCTTCATTTTCCTTCTCCTTGGTTGATGACGTGATCAGTGCATTAGTTTTTGCCTTCGAATGTATCTCCGTGAACTGCATACAACAAAATCTAAATAATTTCCGTCTCTGGAGTCTGGAGTGCTCTCCTCGGATTTCAATTCATTGGGTTTGTGGGGTTGCAACTCGCAAGGGCGTGACGTGCCAGTGGCAGCAGAAGCGGGTGTGATGTGTGAAGAAGAAGAACCACCCACCCCACCCCAACCATCCAACGACATCAACAAATTAATTAAGAGAGAGAGAGAGAGAGAGAGAAAAGAGGGAGATTATTATCGAACCATGTAGAGAGATTTTCCATTCCCAGAGATGAAATTGAGTGTGCTTTCAATGTAGCAATCCTTGAACAAATGCCTTCCCTTGTCATCGTACAATGATTTGTCGGAGCCAGTGAAGTTGCAGCTATAAAACACCGCCTTGTCACCAGAGATTCTCATTGCCGCAGCCTCACCTCCTTGTCCACCACCTTTGCCGTCGGTCTCTGGAGCCGAATTCTGAAACAACACGAGGAGCAAAACAGAACAAAATATTAATGCTACGACCTGACTGACTCATGAGGGATGCATCTGCATTAGAGGAGTGACCATTTCTCTCGAATTGGTTAAAGAAAATGCGAGATGGGTGCATGGAATGAAAAGTGAAAACCATCAATCTGTGTGTGAGGAGATGTGTCGGTGAAAACCATCTATATTGAAGATTGATTGGTTCCACTTCCACTTACTGGCCGGAAGGATACGTGTGTCGGTGGAACAGACACATCACAGTAAGAGAGTATATTTGAAATGAGGAAGGATAAGGGATTAATAGACTCTTTTAATTAGGAAAGACAGGGAGACCTTAAAGATGATGTTAGCGGCCATAAAGTAGTCCGACTCCACTGTGACAGAAGCAGATGCACCATGGGAGGACAAAATCGGCATGTTTTCGGGCGATCCGTAGAACGTGAGAAATGGCTTGGATTTATCCACCGTTATCTTCTCCGCATACTCGCCCGGTCCTATCCACAAGATAATGCGTTGTTTATTCCCGGAAGGAATACTTGCGATGGCATCTGCCACCGTCTTGAAGTCGCCGGTGCCATCCTTTCTCACCTTGATCACCTTGCTGGATTTCTCAGCTTGAGCCAGGGCATCATCGAGAACAACGTCTTCCCCTTGTCTGATCTGATCTTTACGTTCATAGAACGTCTTCATGCTATTTTCAATCCAATTGTCGAAGCTGGTCGGATCATTGGAAGTATTTTCTGGCTCTTGGTCTTGGGAGAACACGATGGGGGCAAGCACAATCAACATCGTAATCATCGTATAACTCACCTGAAGACGATGGACGACTCTTTTCGTATTCCCCTCCATATTGTCTGCTTGTGTTTGGATAGGAGGGAAGTGGAGGGGCGGGGTAGAGTCGGTTTTATAGGCGACGAGCTAAACTTAAACAGATAGGAGAGAGAGAGAGAGAGAGAGAGACTCCTTCCCAAAGATGGAGATGCATTTATCGTAAATTTCGTCATTCATTATTGGCTGTCCGATACATATGGAATTTAATAAAGGAAATTATCTAAAACCCCCTCAACTTCATTGACAATAACAATATATAGGTAGCTCCAAATAGGGCGGCAAATGGACCCAAATAGGAGGAGTATATCCGAATGGAATTCTATTTGATCAGAAATTGAAATTCCACGGATTCAGATTCAGAAGGAACCCAACATGCTCATACAACTAGGAGAACCATGGAGCATTTACAAAAATTCACAACGATTCTACACACTCGTATGCTCCAATGCGAAGAACTCAAATAAATCCATGATTTCCCATGTTCATGTTCTTTGCACATATCTAGATAGAGACAAAGGGAGAGGAGAAAGCGAGTGTTTGGATTGATTGGTGCCTTTGAAGTGAAAGCTGGAAACAAGGAGATCAAAAAACCTTTCAGATATACAATGAGACATGGTAATTTAGGGTTGCAATTGCCAAACGGATTGGATCAAATAAATAGCAGATACTTTGGTTACTTGGCTACTTGCGTGGTTTCCTATGGAGGTGTTCGCCATCCATCGTCTGCTCTCTCATCTAAAACTGAAAGAACGAAAATGAAAATAAGAGATGAAGACCCAAGAGAAGACGAGATGGAGCGGGGAGAGAGAAAGAGGTGGGGGCCTGCAAATTTATCATTACTCCTCTATATATAATCTCTAGCGTTCACTTCTCAACCTTAGTCACCAATATGAGAACAATAACAACTGGATTGGATCTTAATAGATTGAAACAGTCCATATCCGAATTCGGCCCAATAACTTAGAAAATTAGATTTCGTGATTAGATTAGATCCGACACATTTGCTGTCCTGGCTAGAGGTTAGCATTCAGTTTAGTTAAAACCCCAATTGAATATATCAAACCCCAATTAACAGAAATCTTAGAGGAAAACCGAAACCAAACTGAATTAAGGAAATACCGAAATAATTGAACAAAATTCCTTATTTGGTTATTTCGGTTTAAATTGGATTTCATTGTGGGAAGTTACCAATTGGCTATTTGACCTATGTCACAAAATGTAAATAGTACTGTATAAACACAAACACATTTCAAATCCATCTCTCATACAAACACGTAACCTTGATCAGATAAATTTTGAGGGGGAGTGTAGTCTACTTATCCCAATTTTTTTTTTTTTTTTTTTTCAGTTATGGTTCTTTAGAGAATACTCCACATGACCTTGTAAATTAAGCTTTTGAAAGAAGACTATCAGAGACTTCCAATTTGGTATAGGGTGGAGAGTTTTTGTTCTTATTTTGTCTTGATGTACTGTTTTTCTTTATTTGTTTTTGTTGCTCAGTGTGGAAGGAGTACAAATACAAATTTATAGAATGCAAAATCTTATATTTTGTATTGTTTTGTATATATTTACACTGTACATATTTGCATTTGTACTTCTTCCAACTGAGCACGTGGGTTGAATTGAGACGATGAGGTTGTGTGCTTTGTATTTGGGCTTCAGGGCAAGATGGGCTACGTCTTCCCCTTTCTTAATCTTTCTCCCTTTTGATATTGGTTGATTAATAAATTTTAAGGTGGCCACTCTACAACCAGGGGTAAATTTAGGGGTCTTAAAAAAATATCTCTTATACAAACACAAAAACCTAAAACAACCCTAACCTTAATGTGCTATATTTTGGTTAATTTGTTATTTTTTGTCAACTGAATTTTGAAATCTGAGAACCGAAACCAATATAAAAAATACCCTAATGAAAAGATCACAAAATCATCATAAATATGGAAAGGAATGGAAGGTATGTTTGATATTAGAGCACAGAGTAAAATTTATATAATTTGTCTTTTAACGGGGAATCAGTATTTGCTTTTATCTTTTTTTTTTTTTTGGGGGGGGGGGGGGAATTTATGATGCAGAAAAGATATGATATGAAAAGAGTTTTGACCAATCAAAACCCATCCATGAATTTTGATAAACAACACCTTATTTGCTCCCACGTTTGTGATTTCAGTTTATTGCTCAGTTATTTTTTCCATATCATAGTCCAACCCTTTTTTTTCCTTGCAAAACAATGGTTGATTGTTAAATCACTAATTTACCACTTAGAGGGACTTAGAAAAGCCACTCATTTTGGCATCATTTCTTAAACGTAACCATGGTATCGGCTTCAGTGCTCACAAGTAGGGGTGAGCAAAAAAAACCAAAAAACCGAACCAGTCGGTTTGATTTCGGTTCAGTGTTTTTAAAAAATCGAAGGTATCGGTTCAGTTTTGGTTAACTAATATAGAAAATCGGCATTTAACCGAACCAACCGGTATACATATATTTCTATATATTTTATATATACTTATGTATATTATATATATATTTTTATATTTTTTATATATTATAAATTAATAAATATGTATTATATATAAATATATATTTATAATATATGATATATTATTTATTATTTAAAATATAATATTTTATATATTTATATTTATATATTTTTATAATATATATTATAAAATTTTAAAAATCGACAAACCGAACTGATGGTTAACCGACTGGCTTCAGTTATTGATTTTCCAAAAACCGATAATACCGGTTCAATTCAAAAAAACCCATCAAACCATGAGCACCCCTACTCACAAGACTGTGCTTACACCGTTCGCACAATCATTTACACCATGCATTAGGAATATCTCGTATGTATATATTATTTTTTTCATGGGGAGATATTCCCAATAAAAAGCTGTAAGGGACTATAAGAATGATGTGAACACGGTCTTATGAGCACTGAAGTCAATTGGCACTGTACTTCCATACAGGGAGGGGAGAGGTGGTGTGCACATACCCAGGAATGAGACTTACACATATTGCAACCCAAAAGCCTAATCTATTGGTTCTGGGCCATTGTATTTTATATATTTTTCTAATGTGGGACTCCTTTACTTCTTGAAATTCAGACATATATCCTAATAATATCTTTATTAATATGTTATTTATTTGAACAGAAATTAGGATTTTCATGACTGGTAATTCGATTTTTTTCAAATGGTGCAAACAAGTATTTAAAAAGTTGTTTCAGCTGAAACTAGTTTTAGAAGTTGTAAGTTAGATACTTGTCATCTCACGCACATATCCCGGTTGTCAATTGTTTGTACAATCTTCAGCAATACCAAAGCTTTTGTGGCGTAATGTTTAGCTTTTCCTTGTGGTAGTATTTCCCATCATAGAAACCTCGTTTGTTTGTAATATAAATGTTGAATTGGGGTATTTATGTATGTTTGACATCTAAAAGAAGTAATGATTATCAGATTAACACTGAATTTCTGACATTTTTGCACAACAGTACAAAACGTGAAAAGTAAGTTAATATGTGCAAATAAAAAAGGTGGGTGTTTATGTGATATTGTCTTGTCTTGTTGTAATTCAAGGGCTTCCTAAACGTGAAACCCAAGCTCTTGATTCTAATTTAGCATTCTCCACCCTAGTGTACGTGTTTACTAGCACCTGGATTACTATAAACTAGCAAGTTAGAAAGGGTTTGTTTTTCGGTAAGTTATTTATCAATGGGGATTTAAGGCCCCCGTTCTTTTTTCAGTAAATTAGTTATCTGGGTAAATGTATTTATCCGGGTAAGTGTTTCCTATGAAAGGTTTACATAGTTAAGTGCATTTACCTATGTTTTTTATTTCCCAGGTAAATAAGGCAATGACAATTTTATCCATAAAAATTCATTATTAAAAGGGACATTTTTGTCTCATTCAAGTGTTACTAACTTTCCCTCCATATGGGAGAGTTATTTATCCACCTAGGAGAAGGGTATCGTTAAGTGATACTTAGGAAAATAAACTTTCGTTGCTCCCCACCTAAATCTGAAAAAAAGAACATGGGTTTCTTAGTCAATGAGAATCAAAATCCCATTAACCAATGCCCCTAAGAGGAAAAAATGAATTTAATGGGAGAGAGGAGATGTTATAAACATTAACTATTGAGAGGAGGGGATCAAGAATGATTTAATTAGAGAGTAACTAACGATGGGTTTTATTAGAGAAAGTTAAGACCTAAGAGATTTTTTTTTTGTGTAACTCCTTACATTTTGTATAATTTAATTAAAAATAGATAATCACATGTGTGAAAAAGGAGAGGAATATAAGAAGCATGTGAATTTATATATATTTACATGGTTCTACAATGTCAATGTCTATTAATCAGTCAATTGTTTAATTAGGTCCAGAAACCATGCATGGGTATGAAGTGTTGATCCTACTCGATCTAGGCTTATGTTGGGCCTAGACTCAACCCAATTGGCCCAAGCTTTTCCTTAAGGCTAGGCTGCGTGGGGTTTGAAAGGAAACTAGGAAAGGTCGGGAAAGGGGAGGAAAGGCCAAGTCCTTGTATAGGTTTCTCTACCTTTAAAGTTCCCTGTTTTTCCACTTTTTCTTTCAAAACAAATAAAGCCTAAATGATAATGTTTTAAAAACTGACCCGGAATTGGAATTGTTCTGGCCATTGGTTTCTGGCTTAATGGTTTGAACATCCAATTCAAATGGATAGCTCATTCTAACAAAAAATCTAAAAATTTTAAAAAAATTAAGAAACGGCAAAAAGCCGTTAAACTGGTTGAACGGATCAATAGTTTGACCACCTAAATCAATAGGTTATTGACCAATTCAATAATTTTTTATCGAAGATCGGATTTGAGATAAAATAGAACCAATTACCTGAATCAATAGGTTATTGACCAATTCAATAATTTCTAATCGGATCGATCCAACCGTCTGAATCAATGGCAGTTCGAAAACATTTCTGAAAAAAAAAGT